ATTTACTAAAATTTTATTTTTTAACTCAATTTAATTTAATCACAAAAAAATTGAAAAACTAATTAAAAAACTTTTATTTACAAAATTTGCAACCCTGGCTGAGGTATATAACAAATTGTAAACAAAAGTCTATAATCTTCAATTCATTTGGAATATTTAAAAATTGTGTTATATTAAGAATCCTAGGCTATGATTACCAGTGTACTGTTTTCTTCATTTCTTGAATTTTATTTAAATTTAAAACAATTATTTAAAATAAAAAACTTATGCATTAATTAGCAGCTTCTTGTTTTGCAATTTCTCATCAAAACGTTCTCAAATAAATAATAATATTAATAAATTTAGAAGTTCTGTAACATGATTGAGCCTGTAAACATACGGCAACCACAGCTAACTTCATGTGAACGTACTTGTTTGACGTTTCGCCAAATTTTTAGTACTTCCGACAATCTGATTRTCAGATTCCTTCTTTTTGTTGTTTTTACGCGACTAGTTTGGTGTAAGTTTTGCTCCATAAAATTTTTATAAATCTCTCTCCATCTTTGCGGCAAATAAATTATATGAAATGAAATTAACGTATTTACCAACGTAGACGAGTAAATTTTGCGAAATTCCTACTATTTCGCGTACTAATATTTTATTTCTTTGCCTACCGCCAAATGAATCTTCAATATGTGCCTTGCGCGAAACCATTGAAATTTCCCAATGAAATATGCAAAAATTTAACTATTATTTAGTTTGTTTAAGTTTGTGCCACTGCCAAGCAAATATTTATATTTAAATATAGTTTTAAGCAAATTGTTACGATGTTTCCATTCAAGTTAAAGATATAAACTTTGTTGTTTTTTTTACAGGGTAAACAACAGCGTGCGCAGCCATGAAACAAAACAAATTTGTCACCTCTTCACGCAGGAAGAACCGCAAGCGTCACTTCCAGGCTCCCTCACACATCCGTCGTCGTTTGATGTCGGCTCCACTTTCAAAGGAGTTGCGTCAAAAGTACAACGTTCGCTCTATGCCCATTCGCAAGGATGATGAAGTGCAAGTGGTGCGCGGACACTTCAAAGGTAACCAGGTGGGCAAAGTAGTGCAGTCGTATCGTAAGAAATTCGTCGTGTACGTTGAAAAGATTCAGCGTGAAAATGCCAACGGTACCAATGTTTATGTTGGTATTCACCCTTCCAACTGCTTGATTGTCAAATTGAAATTGGACAAGGACCGTAAGGCAATTTTGGACCGTCGCGGCAAGGGACGCATGGCGGCATTGGGCAAAGATAAGGGCAAATACACCGAGGAAACTGCTGCGCAACCWATGGAAACAGCCTAAGAATTTGCAGTTCATCTTTATAAGAATACCACTTTAGAATAAAATAATATCCTTTCAAAAAATGGAAAGTGATCGTTGTTTTATATAAGAGTGTGTGTGTTTTTAAAGTTATTTAATATTGTCTAGCATTGAAGTCTGAAAGACTGGGGAGCCGGTTAGATTTTCAWGGGCGTAAATTTTTTATATAAAATGAAAAACGCCATCAATTAAAGTCTCGACTTGACAGAAACTAAAAAAAAAAATCTAATTTTGGCTGTAATGGTTATTTTTGTGGACCCAGTTCCAACGGAACCTACTTGCAGTGACCATATCTAAATCTTTGAGATTCATCTAAAATCAATCGGGGGTGAAGAAATATAGTGCCTAATCAAAACATATTCTTTAATAACACATTGGCGATCTCTGGAAGACTTTTCCTATTTTTTAAAAAGTCACTAGTTCATGTTTTGAAAAAAAAACCTATACATTTCATTAAAATCTACTGAGTCGGTCTCTAACTATCACTTCAAAAACATTGATTTGAGAAAAAAAAAGCATTTGAAGTCTTACACGAACTTTTTAGACCGCCCATGAACATTTTGCTAATTATTAAATAACTCGAAAAGTATTTGTCGGAATTACTCCAAATTTCAGAGAATATTTGTAAAATATTATATATGAATGTCAAAACAGTTTTTTTTTTCTTGTAAATTCTTACTACACCTAACTTGAACRAAAGTATGGGGGCGCTATTATAATGCCGCGCAGTGTATTTATACATTCTTATCGAAATGAGAATATCTGTTATACATAATCGATGTTGATGTAAAATTATCGACTTTATATTCTCATCACTGAGCACACACATAATAATCTACTGATTGATTAGTAATTTTTTGTATAATATTTAAAGCAGTTTTCTTCAAAAAATGGAAATGATGGTAAATACTGTTTTGTTATTTGAGAAGTAACTATATACTAAAAATSTAAATAATGGAAAACATATTTAGCAAGGTGCCTCATTATTGTCGCGGCCCGCGGAGGAATTCGGCAATGATGAGCTGGTTGAAGAAATGTGGGCTTTAAAGGCAATGGATCACGCTGAAGTATATTTCAATGTAAATATTAAGCAGTACTCTTATAATAATAGTTATTGCTTAAGAATGAGTACTATTTTTTAATTGTGTAATTGAAGCTACTCACAAGCGTGCACCCTTCATGTCTACACCTGACCCCATATGATGACCAAATATACCAAGCATTTCGAGAAGATTTTCCTGATCTAAAATTAGAAGTGATAACGGACGATATGCTGAAATCAGATGATGCTAAAATTCGTTGGCGCACTTTTGCGGAAAAATTCAATAAATTAGATGATTACGCTTATGGTACATTAATACGGTCCGATTCATCCAAAGAATTTTCACCCGAAAATTCGCTACTTGTTGTACGTATACAGTTTTTAGCAATCGAAATTGCACGTAATCGCGAGGGACTAAATGATGAAGTACATCGTAAATTTCGACCACCGCCACGAACTACGGTTGCGGAAGACTTGGTGCCGGGCGAAGTGCAAGAAACGTAGATTTAAGGAAAATAGAAATACAACTAATCAATGGCATAGATACATATATAATATATATATATATTTTATATTTTCATAAGTGGGAAAAATATACAAAACAAACTACAATACAAAACTGTGCGTGTTGCAAATCATGTCCTGGCATGTAAAACTTTATTTGATGAGGCAGCTTTAGGAATTTTGGCATGAATTATTGTCGCAGGCAACGGTGCAATCAATATCCGAAGAAATTGTTCAGATCGAAGTACTATAGCATATACATATAACTGTCAATAGGAACTAAACGATCAAAACAAGTTAAAGATTTCACAAAATATGATCGTTCCTTTTTAAGTAATTTCTTTATGAGTGTGAATACTCCTGGAACTCACACTTGAGGAACGTAAGCAACCAGTAATTAAATACCATACAGTTATCGCCATCAACTATTATTCCGAGTATTTGAGGTTATGGAGTGGAGCTCATTGCGTTTAACTTAAAATATCATTATTTACTTTTCTAAATTAAAAAGAAAATATTTTTTACACATGAAATAACTCATTATGCACGTTCAATAATATTTTGTCCAATTATTTATTAATATATTCGTTAAGTTCGTCACAGTAGAACTCGATTTCAAGGTATTCTACAGCATTTACCAACGTCCATTACGCACTTTTTTGTTATTATTATATATAATATATTATATTAATAAATTCTTAATTTAGTTGTCAACATTTTATTTCCAGCAAAGAACAATGTTTTCATCAAGTTTACAAATACATGCCTACATACACATACACATTTGGTGCATGCTTATACAAATACGTTTACGTACATACAATACATATGTATATTTATTTATTAATTCATTGAGAAATGCAGTTTAACTAAAATTAAAACAAAGTTACGTTTCACAAAAAAAAAAAAATTATATTTTCGAAAAGCAAATTCACGCTGATTAACAACAAATTGTATATTAAAATTAGCTGGTAATAAATTATTTGCTGACTACTCCGTTATATGTTTATATATGTATGTATATTTTTGGTTCTTAATGCTTTCGTTTATATAGTTTTTTAGTTATWTTTACTTTTTTTATTGTATTATTTCTTTACTTTTTTATTATTCTTATTTATTTTTTTAATTTTTTATTTTTAACATGTATTTAGTGGCTTAATACTATGAGTGGGAGCTGCCAGCTTCAGGTTCATTTTTATATTAAATAAATTTGGTCTTTTTTAAAGAGAAAACAAATAAATTTATTAATGCGAGCTTAAAGTGCAAATCTGCAAATTAGAAAAATCACTAACGTTCTCAAAAAAGTAAGGTTAAATAAAAATTTATTTTAGCACAACATTGCATTTGAAGTGGTGCTGTTTTATGCATTAGGAAAACATTTCAATATATTTTCGTGTTAGAACTGCTAATGGATACTGGTCATAGGCTTATTTATTCATTAAATTAAAAAAATTTCCTTATTTTTTATTTTCATTTGCAATTAGAAGGCAGTTAAAATTTTTATACCCTTAATTTCCTACAACTTTTTTTAAAATTAGTTCAATCTTTTCAACTTATTTCCCCAACTTTACAACTTTCGTAATATTGCAGTTTTATTCGTTTACAAAAGAATTGTTTTCATGTCCCGTGCACCGCGCAAGCAATTGCATTTTTTTTTTTTTTTTTTGTTTTAGTTTATTGCGTCTGTGTTTCAGCATTGTGTTGCAGTGCACGGGACAAATAGCTGTTCCAAACAGCTGTGTGGAAATGTTCTGTTATCAATTTTACAAAGTGAAATTTGGCTAAGCGCAACATGACGGCCACTCGCACAATTTCACAATCCACATTATCATCACAGGCAAGCGGCAAACAATGAATTTCATTTGTTCTCATGTAAATGGAATTCATGCGCTATAGTTTTTTTTTACTTTTTTTGGTTTTTTGTTTATATATATATAATTTTTGTTATAATTAGGTTATTCGATTTTTTCTTTATGTTTGTAGTTTTCAATATATATTTACTCTGCTTACGAATTTAATTTAAGCTTAAAAGCCTTAAAATGTACCGTAGCAACGCGCTAAATGTTTCTGGCGTGGCCACGGCTTTAATAACACACCTCTGTATTCAATCAAACAACGGAATCTTTGCGTATCCTAGAAAGGCAAAAAAAAATGATTGTTAATTTTTACATAAAATCAAGTAAAACTAAACTTACCACATATAGTTTTCAGTCTGTGGTGCTCTCATCACACCTACGCCACCACCTAAGCGTCGATAATTCATACAACCACATAAACGCCATTGATTGGTTTCTGGATCGTAAACTTCAATTGTTTTTAAGTAGGCGGAGCCATCAAAACCGCCAACGGCATATAGCTGCCCATTCACTACTGCCAAGCCAACCTAATAAATAGCAAATATATTTTAGTAAACTGTATCATATTAATAAAATTAAATAAGAAAGCAGCTGTGAGGAGCATGATAGCTTCGGTGCAGCCGAAATAACGTTTTTTCTTGTTATATATTGTCTTAGTCACAGAATTGCACTTACACCGCTGCGACGCGAAGTCATTGCCACGATGGGGCTCCAGGTATTTGTATGCGGGTTATAGCGTTCAGCTGATGATAATTCCATACAATCATCACGTCCACCGACAGCGTATATGTAGTTATTGAAGACAGCGCAGCCCAAATGTTTGCGACGTGTGGACATTGGGTTAACAGCGCACCACTTATTTTGTCTAAATAAAAATATAWTTTTATTACATGAATAATAATATATATAAAATAGCATTTCTTATGAGCTCACCTTGGATCATAGCGCTCAACCGTGTTTAGTGGACATTGACCATCAGAGCCGCCAATGGCGTAGAGATAACCACCCAAAACGGCGACGGCCACGCCTAAACGACGAGTTGTCATTGGTGCGACCTTGTGTTTCAAAAATAAAAATTATTTAATATATAATGATATAAAAAAGTTAATTGTAAGTCATTTCACACACACCTTTGACCATTTGTTCTCTTTAGGATCGTAGCGCTCAACATGATTCAGACACTGTACGCCATCCTGCCCGCCGACGGCATACAGAAATCCRTCCAAGACGGCCACGCCAACACTGGTGCGACAGGAGGTGGTTGGCGCGACATCACAAGACCATTGATTTGTTTGCGGATCATAACGTTCGATGCTATTCAAATAGCTTTGTCCATCATGACCGCCAACGGCATAGAGTAAATCATTGAGTACGGCAACACCGACGCCACAACGTCGCTTACTCATCGGTGCGACCATTTTCCAATCGTTTGTTTGCGGATCAAAACGTTCTACAGAGGCAATGGCGTCACCTGAGCACCAACCGCCAACAGCAAACAATACTTCACCCCGACGTGTTGGTTTACGTGGGCGTGTGCGTGGACCTTGCATTAGKGGACGTTCTTGTGGTAATAATAAATAGTTCTTGGCTTCATCAACGAGATCACGGCATGCTTCATCTGAACGCACCAACAAATCAGAGCCAACAGTACCAACGAGGAATTTTGGTGACAACAGCGGYAAACGTACATGTTGCAAAACCTGAATATAAGATTTTAATAATAATTAATTTGTTTTGTAAGTAGAAGTATATAGTAAGCCAACCTGTGCCAAATGTTGACGACGATCCGCCACATTGTATTTCAGCCAAGACATAACAGCATTGAAAACCTGCTCTTCAGAACGTACATTCAACTCATCGCTGCATATAATATCCACAAGTTGTCCGACGGGTAGCAATAGAAACTCCTCGCTTTCCATAACATCTTGGAAGTTGTGTTGTGTAAATTTATCGGCAATGCGCAATAATTCCCGGCATGAGTGTGTATCGGCAAAAGCTCGTATGCCTAAACAATTTGTCGGATCCAATTGTCGCTTTAGGAATTCGCAGCAAATATCCTGTATTTCAACCAGCTGTAGTAGACATGCTGCTGGTAATAAAGTTTGCACGTTAGACTCCTCGACAATGATGTGTGCAGTGTAGCAAAAGTCGATAAGCAACTCCATGGCATTTTCATCTATATCTCGTATAGTTACTTCTGTTTGTCGTGATTCTTCCAACTCGCCGGTGAACATAGCGCGAAAATATGGACTGCAGGCGGAAAGTATTACGCGATGTGCGAAAATTTTGCGACCGCCAACATTGAGTACAACATCACAAAGTTCTCGATGGCGTCGCAGCATATTCAACTCTGATAATGTAACCTTGGGGTGTTTCTCCGAGGTGTGCGATAGACGTGCCGGAGACGGTGGACGATCGATGGCACCAGTTGAAGTGCCAGCGCTGCCAGCCGCTCCTGCCAGCATTGGATCGCCCATCCTGTTCGCCGCTAAACGCAGCGGGGCAGAAGCCCAACCCCACACCGCGTCTATCTGTAATACAATATTATTAATATTTATAATCGTATTTAAGTTGAACTATTATTACTACTTGTAATAGTATTTATGTTCAAAATAATTTCAACATTTTTSTATATATTTACATAAAGTACATTTTATTTTTAATGCATGCGGCTGGTACATATGTAACCCATTTTTATATGTCTCAACTCCAAAAATATCACAAATCTGTGTTGGTGTAAAGAACTAAAACAAAAAGTATTGCTTCGCCCACCAATCCAATTTGTCTGTTTATGCCCACAACAGCTGTCAATAGCTTCGCCCTACCACACAACAGACCAAAATCAACAATAGAAGTATCTATGCCACTGCCATCGTTTGACGAAAAGCTTTGCCTACTTTTTCTGAGCTAATTAACAATTACTACCTAACTAAAATGCATATGTATTACAATTGTTGTAGTTTCTTACCTTAGCGTTTTTGTCTACGGCAAGCCCAAAACACCACGACCAACTCCAAGTGGCAATTCTCGAAAAGGCAATTTTCGCTGTTATCTCAGTGGCTCTGTTGCATTGAAAATTGTTATATGTAAAATTATAGAAACGCGACAAATATAAAATATACGTCGAATTTTATTTTTTCACACACTACTTTYGCCCTCGGTCAAATAATCGACCGACCTTCCTTCCAAAATATTCGTCTGCGTGATTGCTGCCGCCCTAAGCTGGTGCCACACCGTTCTGCTGCTGCTGCTATTTTTTGTTTCGTTTTGTCTTGTCTTTCGTGCGTTTTTGCAAGGCAAAATTTTACAAACGTCACTACAGCGCACTGTCTTGCGAAAATTTTCGCCTAATAACGCATATTTATTACAWTTAAGTTCATCTTTACGTTTATTATATAAAAATGTAAGTTTCCTCAATTATTTTCACAATAAATTGAGAAAATCGTCACTTTTTCTCGATTCACCTCACTGCACAACACCAACACACATCCGACTTATAGTGCTGCCAATGYGGATATTATCTATTGAGGCGGACATGGTTGCGCAAAAGTCAATTGTGCAAACAATTATTGTTTGAACTAGTACTTTATTATGAAATATTAGCTGTAAAAGAAAAAAATATATGTTCAATAAAATATTAAAAYTTCTATAAAAGCTAAAATTTGAGATTCGATTTTTACAAATTATCATACAAAAATAGTTTCAAATATGGCAGCTTTCTCCAGTGTTTGGTAATTGTTGATATAACAAAATTATTCTGCAAAAATACATGGCTTCCCAAATGCTAAAAAAAAAAATTGTTTGTGGCAAAAAATAAATAAGTATAAATACATCAACACAAAATTTTTMAAATTATTTATAACTAAACCGTATAAATATATACAATTGTTGTAATTGTTTTCGGAACAAAGTCTGTATTTACAACTTGTATATAAACACTAGTTATAAACATAGTTGGCAACGCGGTTAGAATGACAATTCAGGAAAGGCTCCACACGGTCGGCGAGTGTTGAGGAAATAAAAATCTTTCACTACAGTATATTTATGCGAGTATTGGAAATAGTGATAATTTATTGAACTTTAGTCCGTTTAATTATATACATAACTTATATATTATTGACTAGTGAAAGTATAATTTTTAAGTTTTGAAACAATGCAAAGTGTTTTGAACACTGTCAAAGGAACAGCCCTAAATGTGGCAGAGTATCTTACTCCCGTTTTAAAGGTGTGTGATTTAGTTGAATACCTAATCAAATATTAAAATTGAACAATAATAACAATTTACAGGAATCTAAATTTCGAGAGACAGGTGTTTTGACGCCGGAAGAGTTCGTAGCCGCTGGAGATCATTTGGTGCATCATTGTCCAACTTGGCAGTGGGCCGCCGGCGATGAATCAAAAACAAAAACATATTTACCTAAAGGTTTTGTTTATATAAATAGTGAATCGTGCAGTAGTTCAAATATTATATATTATTTTGTAGACAAACAATTTTTGATTACTCGAAATGTTCCTTGCTATAGGCGTTGTAGACAAATGGAATATGTGGGTGAGGAGACTGTAGTTGAAGAGGAAGGTGGTGACGGTGGTTGGGTAGAAACGCATCAACTAAACGAAGACGGCACAGCAGAACTCGAAGAAAAAGTGTGTGAATTGACACTTGATGAAAATAAAGTATGTAAACAACACTTTTATATACATCTACGATAGTAGCAAGGTACTTTATAATTGTAGGATGAAATGCGTACTCCAGATGAAGACAAAGGTGCGAATGGCGCCGCACTTATTGATAACGATAGCGAAGACGAAGAAGATGACGAAGCAATTGATATGGACGAATTTGAAGAAAGTGGTATGYTGCAATTGGTGGATCCCTCAGTTGCCACTACAACACGTAAATTAGATACGGAAGCCGGAATAAAAAAATCAAATTCCGATGAAGCAGCTACTGGAGGTGCTGACGYAAGCGATTCAGTGTTGCATACACGCACCTATGACTTGCATATTACTTATGATAAATATTATCAAACACCAAGACTTTGGGTGGTCGGTTATGATGAGGTTAGTTATATTATTTTATATAAAAAATKTATACTATTTTATCAAGAWAAATACTTATTTATGCTCTTTACACAGAATCGAAAACCTTTAACTGTCGAACAAATGTACGAGGATGTTTCGCAAGATCATGCTAAGAAGACTGTAACAATGGAAAGCCATCCGCATTTGCCTGGACCAAATATGGCTAGCGTGCACCCTTGTCGTCACGCTGATATTATGAAAAAGATTATACAAACTGTTGAAGAGGGTGGCGGTGAGCTCGGCGTACATATGTACTTGATTATTTTTTTGAAATTCGTGCAAACTGTTATACCGACCATCGAATACGATTTTACTCAAAACTTTAATATGTCTTAAACCATTTATTTATAGTGCTGAAAAAAGGCTTTTGATCACTACATAGGCAATTTTAAAGTTAATTATAAGATTTAAACTTGGAAAGCTGCTTAAATTGCTTATGCCTTTAGAAATAAATATTTTGTATATGATTTATTAAAACACTTTAAAATATATATGTATTTGTTTTTGCAAGAAAAGCCGCACTTCATATAATTTGAAAATCAATTATGGGATTATAAGAAATATAACTTCACTCTAGAAATGCACGAGAAATGGCAAAAACAATAATGACTTTCATTTCAAGGGATGAAGGAATGGGGGCATGGGTTRAAATGTCCTTAGCCTAAGCTGAATGAATAGGAGCTTCTTTGTGCAAAAGCAATTTTTCTCCGCCATGTTTGGAGCACTCAATGAAAATTTTTTTTCGGGTGAATACCAAAAAATAGACTGCTGTACTAAAGTCTTGCCGGCCGAGTTTCAACCAAAGCTCWCAAAGGAGTTTGTGGTTTAAAAGACTGGCGTTTAGACTCAGCTGTGCAATGATGCATCCATGTTTTACGTCTTGTCATAAATAACCATTAGATACGTCGCGAATTTTTGTTTCTATCAAAGACTTTGGGGTGGTATTTAATAGTTATCATTAATTTAAAAGCCATACTTGTATATGGTTGAATATTTTCGTGYATATAAATATTATTGAATTCATAACTTGTTGACTCCTTTTAAAATCTTTATCTTCATTACAGAGTATAATAGTTGGCAACGCTTGCATTTTGACATTCCCGCAGCTCGTCAATACGGAATTTTTGTTAATTTTATATTTTGTGCCGCCATTCTTATCCTATTCGAAAATTGTTTGGTATCGAAATTATGAAAAATATTAAGAAAGCGAGTTGTAACAATCAAAGTATAAAACGATTTTTGTCGCCACAGCATTCAAACATTCCTTGTAAAAGGCAATGTAAGCAAATGGGTATGGAAAATAAATGCAATACTCAAAAAGGCAGGGACATCTGCATCTTTTCAGGCAACCCAACCAAACAGCATGATGAAATGGAAAAGAGAGAAAATAATTTGCAACTTGTGGCCGGTAAAGAACAGGACTTAAAGTAAGTATTTAGCTAGAAATGTGTTCAAAATAATAAACACATACTTTTTCAGTACTAACAATAATGCAGTGAATAAGTTCGACTGGAACAGCTTTGTGCGAGATCCTGGCGTATTACAAGAGAGCCGATACCCAGTAACCCTCAACACTTTCAAAAGTATGACCCATTCTATGAGTATCGTTAATTGCATACTCGAGGATATCAAAATTGCAACAAGTCTCGACTTTATAAACGATGAACTGATGAAAGAGCGAGTTTTAAAAAACTTCTTTATTCAATTCTATGAAAATCCACAAATTCGTAATATATATAAGCTGGAAACAAAACCATGTCCAACATTTTTAAAAAAGAAAATAATGCAGATACCAACATTGGAAATTATTGAAGTCAAAGGTAATTATAAAAAACGTATTTGCTTAGAATACTAAATGTGTATATAACACGTTTCCAGATAGTGATACTAATGCTGCTACAGTAGCAACTGCAAATAYTGCGCATGTTGAGGCCATAAACAATTCAGCAAAATTGAGAGTACCTGTAAAACAATCACTCAAAACCTTAAGCAAACCAACGGAGCTAGAGCGAGTTGAAGCACAATCATCTAAGTCGCAAGAAAACGAAATACCGACACAACAGTAAGTCAAATACATCGTTTTTTGGGTTTTTATATTTAAATACTATTATAATACTTTAGGACTAATGAAAAGTCTAACATACTATACCTATCGAAAAATATGTTGCTTATGGATGAATCATTTTTACGYCGACATGTGGGTCGTAACACTCAACAAATTGAAAAACTAGATATTATTTTAGAGCGAATATATGCTGAATTGCTGCCACGTAAACAATTGGCGCAAACTAAAGAAGTAAAATCAAAACCTACAAAAGTGCACGAAATATCAAATGAAGTCTGCATCGACATTAGCAATAGTCCGGAAGAGGCATCAGCTGCAATAGCCAAGGGACAGCGTATAGAGCAAGCTAAGCAATTATTTCTTACAGAGTACACAAAGGTCTGGTTTTTGTGTTGTATTAATATGGATTTTATATATGTAATTTATTAATTTGAATTTATTTACCACAGAAAAATACGTTAGCATATGCTTTGCGTTTTCATAATGGCCTAAAGCGGCGTATAATATCGGCGATTCTGGAAATGTCTATTGACGAGTTCAAAAAATATACCAAAATTCATGATGTGCCAGAAATGTATGATGATCCAAAATTGCTGCGCGATTGTTACAATTATGCGATCAAAGCACCTCAAATTTGGCCTGTCAATCTGTATATGGAGTTGTGTGATATATTTGAATACCTCGAAATAAAAGGTGTTTCAGGTGTTAGTGTTGATAATTTAGAAGATATTTCACCAATGCTGCTGCATTGGACTGAACTAGCTGTGATAACGAATTTCGATGAAATTGTGCAATGGGATTTTTACCGTTGTAAAGGTGAAAAGTTTCAACAATTCACGCAATTAGATGTGTATCGGAAAAGGTTTTATGAGAAATGTTGGMTGCACAACACTTGGTTGCGAGAAGTGCCGAAGTTGCATGTGGAGATGCCAAAAAGGTTAACTAGGGGAAAGGAAGTTGTCGAGAATGATAATGTAAGCGAAGTAGCAGCTGTTAATGTAGCAACCACTAATGTAAATCCGGCAAATGCAACAGAGCAATCACAAATACATAATACTACAAAAGATGAGTCTACAAATGCAATGAACGTAGATTGCGCTGAGCAAAGCGTTGAAGCAGAAACCAATAATACTTCAAGTGTTCCTACCAATGTAGCAAAGGCTGCGCATGCGCCAGCTGCTAGTGCTGGTCACTTAGCGGAGACGAATGAAGCAATATTGTCACATAATCCTAACGCAGCAAGTTCAGTTGAACCAGCAATAACTGTAAAAGAAAAACAAAATAGTTTACTTGAAGCAACTTTAAATGTACAGACAACAAAAGCAGTGGTAGAAATAATTACAAACTCAAAAGAAAATGCTGCGACAAGTAACCTAGAAGCAGAAGCACAACAACGCATACAGGCAGCGCAGAAATTGTACTTTTATGAAGTAGAGAAAGTAGGCGTTTTGTAAAAATTAAAAAAAAAATATAAATATTTTTAATAAAAAATGCACTTTTTTCTTGCAGTCATATACTCTACCATATCTACTACGCCTACATAACGGTTTGAAGCGACGCATACTACACGCCATTCTAAATATGACCTACACAGAATTCAAACAATACACACACATAYACGAGGCAGCGGAAATTTACGAAAATAACGAGCTTTTACAGCATTGCTACGATTTTGTGGTGCGAAAACCCCAAGTATGGCCCGTTAATCTCTATATGCGCTTGGCGGATCTTTATAAGTTTCTGAAAATCAAAGGCCTCACACTGTCCGCAGCTGACCTAAAGCATGTCTCACCGAAACTTTTACATTGGCACGATCTAATTGCGACCACTAATTACGATTACCTACTATTTTGGGACTATTACCGACGTAGTGGTAAAAAGATGGCTAAAAATACAACTCGTCTGAATTCATATCGTCAAAAGTTTTATGAAAAATGTTGGCTTTATGACAGCTGGATATGGCATACACCCAAAATATGCGACAATGTACTCACCGATGACTTTGTGGCGGTTGCGGCAGCAGAAGATAAGGAGAATGCCAACTTTGAAATAGCAGTTATGACACATGCACTGGAGGAGCGGGATGAGGAAACGACAGAAACAGAAGAACCAAACAGAAAAATGACAGAAGGCGAAGAGATAAATGGCGCAAGAATTGAACCATCGCCAGTGCGARCGATTGCGAACGAAAATGTGGAGCCGCACAAAAATTCCACAGGAAGCGTTAGTACGGTTGATGCGGGAATACAAACATCAGGTAAGCTTAACTAATATAACACTCGCCTTCCTTACATTTCTACCCTGAACGATATGTCTAAGGTCACGAAGGCCTCGAAGGTTGTATATATAAAAGATGTCAGCGTGACGAGCTGAGTCGATTTAGGCGTGGCTGTCTAGCTGCCTTTCTGTCTGTCTGTATATACGCGAAGTATACTCTCTGTTTTTGAGATATCGATCTAAAATGGTGCTGTCATGCAAACCGACTATCAAAATCAAATTCGTGCATGGGCCCGATGTGTGGAAAATCGGAAGAGTAGTCCCACCATCGAAACCTGGGAAACCCGCCACCAAAGCAGAATGCTATCGTCTGATAACTCCCCTCTGCCTAGTTGCTGTTTAACTTTTACAACTAGAAACTCAATCAACCTTCCATCACTTCTCTCCAAGCAGTTTCTGTTGGAGTGCTTAAGCATAAATCATCCCTGTAGCCACCTGCTTGTAGCGGAACCGCCTCCTAGGCTGTCTCTTATACACATCTAGCTGTTGGAGTGCTTAAGCATAAATCATCCCTGTAGCCACCTGCTTGTAGCGGAACCGCCTCCTAGGYGYACCAAGAGGTCCTTCCTCAACTATGTCGACGAACAATACCCCGACTAGACTTCGGAMGAAACAAGTTTCAGATATGCACTGACCGCCRTACACAGTGCATCCATTAACACCTTCACTGACTGCCTTTCAGGCAATGGCGTACTTGGAATTCATCCACTAGCCATTGCAGRYGAAGAGCTCSAGTTGCCGTGAGAATCGAGAGCGACTCTTGCKCAGCTTCGTTCTGGCTACTGTAGCACGTTCAACTCCTACTTATCCAGGGTYGACCCTAACAAATCAAATATATGGCCAACGTGCAATGAGTCCCTGCATGACACTAACTATCTCTTTGAATGTCCAGCTAACCCAACACATCTGAGACCTCTCTCCCTTTTTGGACCCTTCGAAACAGCACGTTTTCTGGGTCTACCGTTGGATGACCTCGACGAAAACTTATCTAATCCTTACCATCCTAAGGGAGATTAGGCAACAGCAACTGGTCCAAATCACGTCCTTGTGAAAAACTATTTTATTTTTCAAGGCATCTTCCTGAAGTGTGCCATAGATTATTGTTCAGGGCACCTCTACAATCTCCGAACAAATTTTTCGAATCGAACCACATAAAAATTGATCACTCAAAATTTAGTTATTGTATGGGAACTTTTTTTTTTTTACTTTGGAAGGGTATTAAATCTTCGGTGCATCCGAAGTGAAMGCTTTTTATTGCTTATTGCTAATACTGCTAAATTTTGTCAATAGAACATTTATTACACGCCGCATGTGCCAAMGCGTCAACAGTTTCGMGCGRGACAGCAGTGCCAGCAGAAAATCGTAAGTTGATAAATCCTTAMATTTCTTATAAAAAGTGCTATTAGCTTGAYCTATCGTTTTAGCCAACCCAGTGATGTTGCTTTGCAAGGSTATTAAAAAAGAGAARCTCTCACCACTCGATAAATTGCAGTTCAATTTAACGAACGATGAGGAGAATTACGAATGTGTGCCAGTACTGGATGATATAGTCGATCTTGAAGGATCAATATCAGCAAACGAAACACAGGAAGAGTTATTGCTGCCACTTTCGCATTCTGAAAGTTTGGGGACACATGACAACAATTTGTTGTTGTCACTTGATTCTATAGAAGGTGAAGTTGCGGAGCATACTGCACAATGCACAGAGAACATGGAAACTGAAAGCATATTGGCACAACAGCCAAGTCTCGAATTGAATAATGAGCAAACTCAGTTAATGTCCGAGTGCATAGTGGAAATGGAAATTGCAGTTCAGACAACAACAACAGCACAGCAACCTATAGCTGGCCCAGTACTAGAGAGCAACGTAAGGMCTCTAGAGCAGCCACAAATTGAAACGCAAACAAAACCACATTCAGCAYCCCAAACAGGGGAAACATGCTCGCTACAAGAACAACAGCAACAAGAAGCGCATATTGTTGTACAACAAGCGTTAACAGGCGAGCAAGTCCACGTTCCCGGGTTTATTTCACGCGAAGTGAAGGAAGAGTTGCTGCAGGAAGTACAACAATCGGCCGACAATTGCACTGAACACCACAGACAAAAACAAAAAACGACGAAGCAACTAAAAAGTACAGGAACAGAAGTTGCCACAGCACTAACMAGAATAATTGAGGCACATAAGTTGGCGCTGCAACAAAAGCAGCAAAATTGTAGCAAAAACAATGCGCAGACGACAGTGGAATCGSAAGCAAAACAACAACAAGAACAAACACTTGAAAAATGCGCAGTGCGGGAAAAGCAACAACATTCACAAAGACTACAAAAACATTCACAATCACAGCAACAATCATTACAAAAACAAAAACAAAAACTACAACAACCACCTCAACATCAGCAGCTGAAAACAGCAACTGAACATCAGCAAGAACAAAAACAGCAGCAACAAGCTTTTACTGTTAAAATACCACTACCGAAAGCACAGCAACAACGTAAAAAGCAACAACAGCAAATATCAGCTCTAAAACAGGCAAAGGAAAAGCAGCCAGCGGCAATAGTGCAACAGAGCATACAACAAMAACAACAACAACAACAAACTGTGTCAGARACGCCACAAACAGTACAACAACAARAAACTGTGACAAAAGCGCCGCRGATAATACAACAACAACAACACGATGCCTCTACAACAATCGCCGAAAGTAACAACACACAAAAAAAGCTGAAATCTACACCGCTGCCACAAAAACAACAAGCATCAAATGAACAGCGTGCAATTCGGCAACAAACACCGCTACAACAACAACAACAACAACAACAACCGTTACCAACCGTAGTTATACCAATGTCAATGCTACAACAACAAAAAGAATTTGCAGTTGAAGACCAGGCGCCACAAACGCAAAAACAACAAATAAGAAAATCGCTGMGAACACAAAAATCACAAATTATCGCAAAACAAAAGGTTCCACACACTAAAAAACAATTAGAGTCACAGCAATTAGCCAAGCCGASTCAAGCACTCCACACAAAAACTCATGTACAGCAAGAATTGCAGGAACAAGAAAATCTGGATATTGAAAAGCAAAAGGAAGAGTTGCATCAACATCACCAATTAGTGCCTCAGAATGTTGCTAAAGCAGTCGCTGCGCAAATTCAACCAGAGCCGCAACAGTCGCCACAACAACTAACTCAGACTGAGCTACCGACCCTTTTAGTACAACAACAGCAAGCAATAAATAACCAAAATGAAAATGAACCTACTGAAAATCCACAACCGATTGAGCCAATTAAACAAAGTCGCACAGTGCAACAACAAACAATTGGAGAAAATCTCAATGCCAGCAATCCGACAGGGCTCGAGTTCCTGCCACAACAATTGCAGCAACAATTCAATCAACCACAATTAATTCTGCAACGCACAAGCACTCAGATACAAGAGCAGGTAATGTTGCGGTCCACCGGCACACCGCTCTCACAGGACTCACCAATCAATCTGMCCCCATTTGTGCAACTCACCAACAAACAAACAATCAACACAACAAAAAAGAAAAGTGTAAAGCCTACAAAGCCAACAACACGTAAAGCTGCAAAGCTTAGCGATTATGTGCCACAACTCACGCACGTTTTCCAACCRCTACCTGTTGCTTTGAACACCAAGAAAGCAMCTACACTTGAACCGACCACAACCACCACCGAYCTGCCAGAGTCCAACACAAACGTTGCAACAGCAAGTCACCAGCAATTAACACCARCCGTAGAAGAGCAATTTGTTACCGCCAGCAATATAAGCTTATCACCACCAACTGCAAATGCCATGGTATTGACGTTGCCAGTAACACTGAACGCGACCAGCACCAGTGCATCCAATGCATCCAACGCATCGTTTGTGTACACGCTGAGTGGCGATAGCAGCTTGTTCAATAGTTCGGAACTCTTGAAGGCGCTGGAAAATTATCAACTACAATTTAGTCAACAACAGCAACAACAACAACAAATGACACAGTCAGAACAAACGTTGCAACAACAACTGACACAGTCAGAGCAATCGTTGSAACAACAAGTGCAGCAGGAGCAACCATTTGAACTCAACTACAATCGGTTGCAAGTTACGCAGCAACAACAACAAGACTACCAGGTAGCCATACAAATGTCACAACCATTGGCATTTGTAGATAGCGCGAAACGGCAAGAGGAGCAGGAACAGCAACAACAAGAAGAGGTGCAACAACAACAGTTACAACAACAATTGTTACTACAACAACAAGACGAGGAAATACAACAGCAAGAAGATGAACAACAACAACAGCAACAGGAAAAACAACTGCAACAACAGTTACAACAACAATTGTTACTACAACAACAAGACGAGGAAATACAACAGCAAGAAGATGAACAACAACAACAGCAACAGGAAAAACAACTGCAACAACATTTACAACAACAACTGCTGCTACAACAACAGCCACAGTCACAACAACTACTGTTGCTACAACAACTTTTAAAACAACAACAACAACATAACCAAGCAGCCATACAAATACAGCAACCTTTGTTGTTCTTGGATCATGTGGAGCAGCAACAGCAGTTACAACAACAACAATCATATCAGCTATTATTACACCAACAACAACAACAACAACAACAACAGCACCAACAAATGCAACCAATTGTATATCAACTAGTGGATGTCAACCAGGTAAACAATTTTGCAAAAAACATGGATTCTGATGCTGCAGCGTCAAAAAACCAAATGCACCCTAGTTCCATGTAGAATTCGCCACCGCTTAATATACATACATACATATAATGAATAAGAACATACCTATGTATATTGAACATAAACATTTCCTATGTACATAGACACATTTATGTACAACAAAAAAACAAACCAGTGCTGTCGCTTACATTGCTCTTCTTCTTACGTAGGCGCCGCACACTGCCGCCGCCTTTGCCGGTGAACAAGTTCAACARTATTTGCAGTTATCACAAACACCTTATTTCACACAACTTGCTGTACAAGAAGAGTCTGCCACACAAGCGCAACAATCCACCACACTCGATACYGCTAACGCGACCGCACACTTACCGCCTGCGATCATAAACGAAATGTTGCAGGCAAATGTTTGGTTCGAACACAATTATGCCATGGCACCACTATCAYACGCACTACACTTAACATCATTGCCTTCACCGAAAGGTGTCTGTCGCATGCGTTCCCGTCCGTTGCCTAAATCATTCTTCTACCGACGCTTAGAGAAAATAGACTACTTTCGCGAATTGACGGCGCTCAATATTGCCGAATATCRGCTGCAGTGCACCAGTTTGGGCAAATCATATTTGCAAGCGCAGATTCGCACCACACACCTGCGTACGGTGGTGAGTGGCGATATATTGGCGGCGTTGCTACCACGTTGTGCGCCAGATTTGCTGCAGCATCTGCAATTRGTGCTGCAATATCTTGGCGAATTTCACTTTAATACCTGGGAACAGCGTCAGCAACGAAAAGTAATTTCGAAATGCTCGCAACGCACGCTGCACACCCTGTGCGCGCATATACTGTTAYTATTTTTCCAATACTCATCGCCATTCCAAAGTAAATGTTTGGATATGGCAACAGGCTGGTGGCAATTTGAGCAGCGTAACTGCTTGGGAGTTGAAACAGCGCGTGCGTCCAGTGCAGGAATAGTTAATATGTTCGAAGATTTGAGTTTGGCTATTGATCCATGTGTACTAGCGGAGATGGCGGCGCTTAAGCGCAATTTATGACAGTTACAAGGCAATTTTGCGTTGCGTAGCAGTTTAAAATTGCACCAAATTATGTTATTAAGTTTATTTCGTTGTATAGCGGTATATACATTGTATGCAACATGTTGTTTTAATTGTATAAATCACACATATTTCCCACTCAATAGTCTGGTAGTCAGCAATATTTTCAATACTCAACATACATATGTACATACTCGTACATACATATGTACATATGTAAATATCTATAGTTGTAAATTGAGTAAGTTGTTGTTTTAAAACAAAATGTTATTACTTCAACAGCCAAAAACAGTTTTTCAAAATATTTTTTAAACCATTTATTCAAAACATTTTTTTTTTAATTTCYGAACCCATTTTTTCAAAACAGTTTTCTCAAAGGGTTTAACTGTTACTTTTTTTGTTTTAACTGTTTTTCTAAATAGTTTCTCAAAAAAGTTTTTCCAAACAGATTTTTTTAAACAGTTTTCCGAAACAGTTTTTTCAAAACAGTTTTCCGAAACAGTTTTTTCGAAACTCTTTTCCAAAGAATTTTTTAAAACCGTCTTTTGTAAACGGGTTTCGAAAACATTTTTTCTAAACGTTTTTTCAAAGAGTTTAAACACTTTTTTCAAAAAAATTTGTTCAAACCATTTTTTCTAGACAGTTTTTCTCAATAATATTTTCAAAACTGTTTTTCTAAACAGTTTTTATCAACAATATTTTCAAAACTGTTTTTCTAAATAGTTTTTCAAAAAAGTTTTTCCAAACAGATTTTTCAAAACAGTTTTCCGAAACAGTTTTTTCAAAACAGTTTTTTCAAAACAGTTTTTTCAAAACAGTTTTTTCAAAACAGTTTTTTCAAAACAGTTTTTTCAAAAAAGTTTTTCCAAAAAGATTTTCAAAACAGTTTTTTCAAAACAGTTTTTTCGAAACTCTTTTCCAAAGAATTTTTTTTAA